TTCTCTCAGTGTCCAATGCTTCCCTTGCCACCCTGCCAACTCCAGAATCCTCGTCTTCCCCAGGCTCCAGATGTGTGAGCCAACCCCAGACTGAATTCCTTCTCTTCCTTCCTTAAATCTGGTTTTCCCTCTACATCCTTCTACCCAGTTGCCCGAGTCAGAAACCTGGGTCATTTCATCGCTTCCCTTAGCTGATATTGAGTGCTGGCCACGAGCCAGGCCCAGCGCTTGTCACTTGGGATGCAGCAGGGTGCAAATGCACAGAGCCTGCCACGCTTGCTGCTGGTGGGAAAGATACATGTTCATACGTGATTAGTCCTCAGAAGGGAATAAAGCGGGGTCCTCATTTTGATTGAAAAGACTTCCCTTGGGAAGGATATTTGAACTGAGATCTGAAGGGTGATGAAGCATTGATCAGGCAAATTAGGGCTGTGGGACATTCTAAGCAGAGGAAAGAGCATGTGCAAAGGCTCTGTGGTGGAAAGAAAAATGTTTATAAGGGCCAGCCCCGTGTCCTATTGGTTAAGTTTCGTGCGCTCTGCTTGGGCGTCCCAGGTTCAGTTTCTGGGCGTGGACCTACACCACTTGTCTGTCAGTGGCCATGATGTTGTGGTGGCTCACATACAAAAAGAGGAAGATTGGCAATAGATGTTAGCTCTGGGTGAATCTTCCTTAGCAAAAAGAAAAAAAAAAGTGTTTATGAGATGAAAAGGCCAGTGGGCAGGAGGGCTGAGAAGAGGGCGAAACATGGCATCGAGTACTGCTGGGGTGGTGGACGGGACTGGATAGCCAGGAAAGCCGTTTAGTGTTAGTCTTTCTAGGTTCCTCTTTGCTGCTTATACCCACTCCTTTCTACCAGAGTCTCTCTCTTTAACCCCTCTCCCACCCCATCCTTCCTCTCCTATTCTGAAGTCCTCATTGTTTCGCACATAGAAAATGAAAATGGCCTCTTGCCACCTTCAAATCCATCTTCTGCACTCCAGTCTTAAGCGGTATTTCTAGAATGTAAATGTGATCACGTTGGTCCTCAGGATACAATTCCCCGCAGTGCCCTAAAGGTGCTGGGTAGAGAGTGCTTTGATGCCTGAATGCCCTCGCCTCCTTTGTCTGCCTGGTGAGGTCCTGTTCATCTCACCAGCAGCAGCTCATCCCGCCTCCTCCTGGAAGCTGTCCCCATACACCCAGGCCGGAGTGCCAGCCCCTCGTCTTCGCTGGGCACGTGCTCACATTGGTGCATTTATCCCCTCTCCCCCCTTGCTTGTTGACGCGTCTCCTCTGCTAGACTGTGAACTGCTTCAGGGAGGGAAGTGGGCCCCATTTATCTGTGTCCTCTGCTGCCAAGGGCTGGGCATATATTAGGTGTTTAATAAACATTTTCTTGAAGACCTGGTAATGAAGGAATGACATGGTCTAGGCAGGTGGTAAAAATGAAGCTCCATTGGAGAGTTCTGTGTATAGGGACCGTGGTAAAGAGGTCTGGCTTCCAGGACCTCCATGTTCTTCAATAACCAAACACAGGTCTCAGGGCTGCCTCCCTCTGCCCCCACCTGCATGTCCATCCATCCAAGAGGGCAGGTGCATGCAGGGTGGGCCGAGTCAAGGGTGAATATATTCAATCTTCTACCTGTAGTGTGCATCAACATCACCTGAAGGGCTGGGTAAAACACAGATTGCTGGGCCCACTGCAGAGTTTCTGAGTCACTAGGTCTGGGATGGAGCCCAAGACTTTGCATCCCTAACAGGTTCCCAGGGGATGCTGATGGTGCCAGTCTGGGGCCTCCTCTCTGAGAATCTCTCTTCTAGCAAAAGGATTTGCTCTAAAAAGAATTATTCTCTATGGTGTTGGGGAAGGAGATAAGGGAAGCCTTTTGCTTGGGTTTGGTTTTTAGGTTTTAAGAACTATTAGCTTGAGGTTAATCTGGATAGATGGATCAGAGTCTACCTACTTCCCCCCTCCCCCACCTCCTGGCTTTCTCACAAAGCGTTTCTGTGTTCATTCATCAGCTAGTCAATAAATATGTTTTGAAGCTGTAATATGTGCATAGAAACATACAAAATGCAGTTGTTGATATCAAGATGAAGTTGATATGAAACTGCCCTTTAGAGAGATCCTCCAGTGTGGACATAACTGTAAGTCAAGGAGTGCAAAGAGGAAGCACCTACTCTGAGAGGTAGTGAGCTCCCCATCAGTGGAGTTGTCCAGGTCAGGCATCTAGAGTATTAGTGGGAATCAAACATCTCGATAGATAGATGAAATGACTCTTAAGATCCTGAAATTCTGTGTTTAAGGAAGACAGTGATAATTGACATAACAAAGTGGCACCAATGAAATGCTGTGGAGTTTGCAGTGGGAGATATGCAGAGACAGCTGAGGCCTCCTCATGCGAATACTGATATTGTCATTCTTATTCTTAATAAACGTATTCCTCACCAATAGTATGCTTGGTGACTAAGTGGATTTATATCCAATGACCCCATAATTTGCTGTTTATTAACTTCAGATCATTTGAAAGGTTAAATAGAAAAAGCCACAAGCAGGCCCAGAATGTCCCTCAGGGGCCTCTTTAGGTCCCACTTCCTGAGTCAAATGGAATTGAGATGTGTAGTGCCATTGTATTTTTTTGCAATATTTACAGCATAGAGAGGGAGGGAGAGAGAGGGGTGGGAGAGAGACAGAGAAACAGAGAAAGAAAATCTAAGTAGCTAATTGTAGGACTTGAATTTATAGTCACTAGGTCACCAACTTGAATTTCAGATTTTCACCTTATTAAGAAAGTCCAAACAATTGCCAGACTCTGTAGTATGAGGTAAGGGTCCAAGTCCCCATTTTAGGAGGGCCCAGCACTGAAGATGTGGTGGACCCAGCTGAAGCCCCTTGTCCCTCATTACCATTTTTTGAACATTCCTCATGTGCTGGGTCTGGATGAGATACTTTGCAAATATCATTTATAATCCCTGTAACCATCCTGCAAGGCAGGTGGTACTAGCATCATTTTCAGATAAGAAAAAAAGCACAGAGAAATTTTGTGTCTTTGTCCAATTTCACACAGCAAAACTTTTCAATTCATTTTTGGAAGTCAACATAACCATAAAATCGAAGTGTGATAAAAGGCCAAAAATTACAGATCTTTCTCAAGCCTGAGTATGGATACAAAATGCAATATTAGCAAATAGAATGTGGATCAAAGGATAGAGCATTCTGACCAAATGGAGTGTAGTCTAGGAATGCAAGAATGGTTCAATGATAGGAAACATCAGGAGAAAGCAACATAATTCACTATATCAACAAACCAAAGAAGAGTCATGTATTAGTAGATGCTGCAAGGGTGGCCGAGAAAATTCTCCTGTAGTAAAACTCTAGAACATGAGTAAGAGGAACGGCTTAAATTTGATGGAGACTAAAAATTAGCCACATCTATGATTCTAAACAGTGAAACACTAAATCCAATTTCATTAAAATAGGAAAAGCATGCTTTTGCTATTTTTAAATATTGTCTTGGTGATTCTTAAAATCAAATTCAGCTAAAAAGAGAAAATAGTTTGTATAAATATGGGACAGAAGAGTTGACATAATCTATTTTTTTGCCAATAGATTGTTGCAATACCTAAAAGACCTAAGAGAATCTAGTAAGAAAAGAAATGCTACCAGAAATTATAAGGGAATTGGGTAAGATGGCTGGAAAACAGCTTTTCACCATATGATTGAGGTCAGACAGCCAGTCATCTTTGGCACCCGGAACTGGGATTTGAACCCAGGTCTGATGATGAAGTCTGTGTTCTCTCTACCTTGTGAAGCATTTGTGCTTACTGGTATAACCCAGTCGTGTGAAGGGAAAGTCTCTTAGAGCTGCTAATCTCAGATTCTCCAGCAGACCACGTGGGGTTTACCTGCTGGCGAGACGAGGGTCAAGATGAGAGGGTTGGCGTAGGATTTCGCCTGAAGACCCTCGAGGTTTCTGCTACCAGCAGTGCCATCCCTCTAGGGGCTGAGACATGGGCTTTGTGTCGAGGGAGAGTGGGAGTGGTGGTCTGGTCTTAAGCCATTTAGCTAGGCTTCTGCTTCCCAGGTACAGAGCAGCCAAACCATGGACCTGCCCCTTTTCTTCTTCTTGGCCATATTTCTTGGCCCCTTTTCTTCTTCCAGGAAGCCATATTTATGTTGCTTATTGCCCTTGTCTCACACTGTCTATTTGAGAAGTGGTGCTTGCAAGGACACAGTTTTAGAGATTTGGGGTCTGAGAGGCTGCCTGAGGCATCAGGGGCACAGCTGTTGTTCCCCACGTCTACCAAGGATGCCTCGGCTTCAGGGTTCCATAGTGGAAGTGGAACGTGTTTTCTGGCACCAGATCACTGGGTGATACGTTGAAACTATTCTCCATATCAAGCTTTTCTACTTCAGAGTCAACCACCGGGTAGTGGGAGAGGCACCTCCCAGGAAACTAGGAGACCTGGGTTCTAGTGGCTCTGCCACAACTAGCTGTGTGTTCCCAGGCAAATCACTTAGCCTTGCTGGGCCTCGCTTACCTCATCTGTGCCATATGGTGTTGGACTGGATACACTCCCAGTGCCCTTTGACTTCAAAGGTATAATAATCATCATCCTTACCAAATGCCTGGCACTGTTCTAATGCTTTGCACAGAAATTAACTCATCACAACAATCCTAGGTAAGTACTATCATTATTCCCATTTTCCCTCTGAAGAAACTGAGGCACAGAGAGGACAAGTGACTTGCCCAGGGTCTCACAGCTAGGAAATGATGGAGCTCTTACACAGCTCAACTTCCATCCTCCACTCATGGTTTTCTTTACCTAGGCCCATTATTATAGTGGTGATGGTTCTGTCCAGGGTGTAATGAGTGTTGGAGGTGGGAAACTCTTTTAAAGGGAAACCCAACTCTGGGGTGGATGGCTGGGTGTCCCTGGCTGGGAGAATGATGGCAGTGGCCGCAGAGGTTGCTGACATTTGTGGTTTCCCTCTCCTTTCCTCTTTTCCTCTCTAGTCTGCGGCAAGCGCTACAAGAACCGGCCGGGACTCAGCTACCACTACGCTCACACTCACCTGGCCAGCGAGGAGGGGGATGAAGCCCAAGACCAGGAGACCCGGTCCCCACCCAACCACAGAAACGAGAACCACAGACGTGAGTTCCCAGGTGTCGGGTTGGGCAGCGATGAAGTGGGTGGGCAGGGCTGTGGAGCCTTGCTCTTTTCACCTCTGGCATCTTCCAGTGGCTACCATTGGTTGGTCTCAGTGTCCTGTGGTTAAGTTGCCTCTTTCAGCCCAGGCCCAGCTGCCCCTGTGGGTCAGCTGAGCCGCAGGCTTAGAGTGAGCTGGGCAGGGATGGTACACCTGGCTCTGCTCGCAGAGGAAGTAAGGTGTTATGGTACAAGGAAAACATTCTTATGTGGCTATTGTCAAACACCAGATCTGTTCCTCTTTTCCCTCAGCTCCAAAAGGTCCATATTCGCAGCTGCTAACCTGAGTTAGGCGTAGCCTTTGGGTGTGTCAATTCAAACAGACATTCCAAATGCCTCCATGTCTGCCAGGAGACATAGAATATTCTTGATCTATTGTCTCAGCTGCTACAAAGGTCATGATTTTGGTACAGGGCTCTCCTGCCTTAGAAATGCTGCCCTGGAGCCTCTATGCTTTTTGCTCAAGCACTCAGTCAACAAACATGACCTAAGTGCTTGTCATTTGGGATGTTGGGCTCGAAGACCCAGAACAATCCTGAAGATTTGTGTTTCCATTTCTATTCTTTCTTTCCTTCCTCAACTTCCAGACATGAATGAAGGAGTCAAAAAGGGCTGAACATTCACCACTTGACTTCCCTCTATAACATTCCTTATAGTTTCTGGGCCTATAGTAAACTCAGAATGGGATGGGACAATGGGATCCTTTTGGCTTTCTTCAAGATGTGGGGCATTCTAGATTGTTAGGTGAGGGATAATTGTGGGCATGCCACGTGTCTTTTATTTTCTTCACAAGATTTGGTGGTAGGTGTTCTTAAATTCAACAATTCAATGTAATTAAAGGGAATCAGACCTCTAAAAATATTCAGACTCTAGGGGCCGGCCCGGTGGCGCAGCGGTTAAGTGTGCACGTTCCGCTTCAGTGGCCTGGGGTTCGCCGGTTCGGATCCTGGGTGCAGACATGGCACCACTTGGCAAGCCATGCTGTGGTAGGTGTCCCATGTGTAAACTAGAGGAAGATGGGCATGGATGTTAGCTCAGGACTAATCTTCCTCAAAAAAAAAATTCAGACTCTAGGATTTGGGGGTGACTCCTGTGCATTTCAGTCAATCCACTTGGTCAGCTGATGTTGATTGGCCACTGGCACCAAATGTTTGAAATGATTAACACACCTTGGCCAAGACCTGTCTTTAGATTGGTATGTGTCTCCCCAGCCCCCACCCCACGTTCCCCCTGTCTCATTGCCTTCTGTAATAGTCTGCTCAGGGTGCCATGACAAAACACCAAAGACTGGGTGGCTTAAAGAAAAGAACTTTATTTTCTCACAGTTCTGGAGGCTGGAAGACCCAGATCAACGTGCTGGCAGGGTAAGATTCCTCCGAGGACCCTCTCCTCGGCCGTGGCTGGCCGCCCTCTTGCTGCCCCTTCCCATGATTGTCCATCTGTGCACGTGCACCCCTGCCGTCTCTTTATGTGTCCAAATTTCCCGTTCTTATAGAGACCCAGCAAGACTGTATTGGAGTCCATCCTAACGGTCTCATTGTAGCTTTTCCTCTTTCATCACCTCTCTAAAGGGCCCCTCTCCAAATATAGTCACATTCTGAAGTACCGAGGCACAGTTCAGCCCATAGCACTTTCTTTAATTCTTGTTTACATTCGGGTTCAAGCCTTTCGTGTGACAGAATCTTATTTTCTTACCTACTGTTGTCGTCTGGACAGAACCTGAAAAGCAGGGCTGGAGGGTCTGACAGAGCTTTGCCCACCTTCCCTTGCCAGCTCCTGAGTAGCTATGATGCTGAGGTCTCTGTCTTCACTCTGGGGAGAGATTTCCTTGGTCTCTTCATCCCGTCTTCCAGGAGGGAAAATACGTTGACCTGTACTGAGGCAGCTGGCGTTTGCATTTCCCTGTCTGTCCTCTTACCCCTTCTCTGACCCTAGTGGCCAAGGTGTAGCTCTTGTCTCCCACCTCAAGGAGGCTGAGAATGATCTCCTTTGATTTGGGTTGCTCTACGGAAAGTATTTACCAGCGATGGTTGCTCTCTCTGAAGTATTTATTAGCTTGGTACTATTTCTCACTCCCCCAGAGCTGGCTTAGCCTTTCCATCTCTTCTCAAATGCCAGGCCATTCTGTTCCTGTCTATGTAGGTGCTCTACTCACGCTATAGGGTTTAGAAAGTTTCTCTTTTGTCTGGATCTCTTTTGTGTGTGTGCACAGTGATGGCAACAGCAGAAGAAGGTTCCATGTGGCTCCCCAGGGACACTGCAGACCCTAAGTGGGTCAAGGCAGTCTCTCCTTAGCTATTGCTGAGGTCTCCTTCCAGCTAGCTGTTGACTTCCGAGATGCGCACTGGCATAGTCTTCTCTGTCCTCACGCACTCTCATGGGTTGGTGTCTTCTGTCTCCGTATGTCCTCACCTTGAGGCCGGATGGCCTTGCTCAGCAAAGAAGCTGTGTTTTGCCTCCTCCTACACGGAGACACATCCCTAAGAAATCTCCTCCTGGTGTCAGCTCTTTTCTCTCTCTGGGTTTGTCAGGGAGCACACTCGCCCTGACCCCTCTCTGCCCATCTTCTCCTTCTCGCTCTGCTAATGAGAAATTAGGTTCTTTAAAAGGATCCTCTGACTACCCAAGGGTTTTAAACCACATAGAAAAGAATAGCTGTACCTAGGCTTGTCTAGGACTTCCTCACACTAGGAAGGTTCCAGAACCCTCCCAAATGACATCTCCTCACAACACCTCTGAGAACTCTGTGATTAACCCCAATTTTGCTAGCAGGGAGGGTGCAGCAGACAGGTCCTCAGTGTCTGCGGAAGCCGTCCTTTCCCTCTTCCACAATTTCTCTGGACACATCCAAGAGATGGTGGCTCTTCCCAGGTTCTCTGCACCGCACACGCCGCCGATCTGCTTGCTGCTCTGAACATGTGCTCTGTTCCCTCCCACATTCCCCTGGTGAGCAGCCCCCAACCATTTTCTCCTGAGCGCTAATTGCCAGCATCATTAATACCCAGTCATTAGCTGCTCCCACTGTTTGAGGTGGGGGTGGGGGGGCTCCCATCCATCCTGCCCCTAAATGCCACTGGGGCTGCGTGGTGAATTGAATGTGACAGCTCTGCAGCATCCTGAGGTCTCAGCTTCATGATCATCCCTTGGCAGGGCTTGTAGAGTGGGGGAGGGGGGCAGGGAAGCTTAATCCAAGAGGCTAATCTACAGCTCCCCCAGGAAAAGGTCTGGACGCCCGTGGAGAGGGAATGCTGACTTTTCCCTCTTCAGCAGAGCCGCTGGGTGACCCACGCTGCTTGTGAAACAGGCCTATCGGGAACACAGCCCTACAGACTCAGGAGTTTTCAGGGCCACGGGCGTCTGCGTTTGCACCACCTGCAGTGGTAGAGACCTTTTGACTTTGGTCCTCCTGCTGTCGCTTGCTGCATCCCCCCAGCTGTGTCTCCCATTGCTTCTCCCTGCGTCTGCTGCTGCTGAAAGGGCAGAGCGGAGTGCCGGAGCTGGCGCTGACCTCCCCCCAGCCCCAAGCTGCCTGCGCTGCCAGCTCAGCAATTGACTGCCATCCCTCCTGTCCTCCTGCCCCTCCCCGCTGATGTTCTCTGGCCTTTGTTCCTCTTCTGTCTCTCATGTTCTCCGGAGTATACGCTTCTTGTCTCTTCTCAAGACTTGTCTCCTTCCTCTGCCTCGCTGCCTCAAATACAGGCAGCCCAGGGCTGCTTGGAGCCCACACACTGTCCCCTGGGAGATAAGGGTCTTCCCCCGAGAGCTGCTGCTCTTCCCCTCCCTGGGTGAGGCTGGATTCTTCTTCCTTCCTCTGTTTCTCTTACCATCTTCATCTACCTTCTACAAATGAAGCCACCGTGCATGCGTGCATGTGTGTGTGTGTGTGTGTGTGAAAGGAGGGTGGGAGGTTAGCACTCTGAGAGGTGCCACTCAGAAGCATTCCGTTGTGACTCCTTAAATGCCACCTTGATAAACAGCCCCAGTGGGGCCGGGGGCCAGCAGAAAGAGCACCAGATTAGAATTCAAAACTCCTTTGACACAGGCTCACAATTTCAAAACTCTTCCTGAATTTCTTTTTACCTTCCCTACACAGTGGGAATCTATTATAGATGAAGTTTTCAAGGTCCTTTTTTGGGGGTTAGAGTGGGTGTGGGCATTTAGGAGGTCCTGGACTTGGATGGAAAAGCTATGTAAATAAATTCAGTCTTGGGACCGGCCCTGTGGCTGAGTGGTTACGATCACGAGCACTGTTTTGGTGGCCTGGGGTTTGCCGGTTTGGATCCTAGGCAAGGACCTATGCACCGCTCATCAAATTACACTGTGGCAGTGTCCCACATGTAGGAACTAGAATGACTTACAACTGGGATATACAGCTATGTACTGGGGCTTTGGGGAGCAAAAAAAGAAAAAAGAGGACGATTGGCAACAGATGTTAGTTAGCTCAGGGCCAACCTTCCTCACCAAAAAATATACCTTAAAAAAAAAAAATAAAATAATTTCAGTCTAATCCATTCATCTGTCCATTTGTCCATCCATCCATCGGTTTGGTAGCCATGTACTGAATGCTGTCTTGGCCCCTGCCTTTGAGGAGCTCACGCTCTTGAATGGGAGCGTGCAATCATCTGTGCATGCAATGGCGAGAGAGCGCAGGACTCAAGGGCACCGCACACTTTCACTCTGTAGGGCAGTGGTGTTCTAAGTGTGGCATCAGCATCACCTGGGAACTTGTTGGAAATGCATATTCTTGGCTCCCCCAGACCTCCTGAAACAGCGTGCGAGGGTGGGGACCAGCAATGTGTGTTTTAAGAGGCTCTCCAGGGCATTGGGGCTCACGAGAGCTTGAGAACACTGCATTAGGGGATTTGCAAAGGCTTCACCGAGGAGGTGATGTGCGAGTTAGCCCTTGAAGAATGAGGAGGGATTCCCCGGGGATGGGGGAGGGCTT